ATCAAAATTAGGACACAATTGCCTCCTGCAGTGGGATTACTAATAAACATAAAGAAACGGACGGATGGATTTAGGACCGATACCTTTGCTTAAAAATCTTAAAATAACATTAACGTCAACTAAACTTTTAACAATTATATTACGGTTGGGTTGTGTTATATACAGGTTCAGAATTGTCGACAAATCTATGGTACCTACGATAGTATTACAGTGAACAATCATCATCGTATGGGTTTCCTTGATCGCGTTGAATTAGTATAGCTGTGCGTGGCAGATGCTTAGTTCTGTTTATTTAGGGAGTTCCTGTTGGAATTGCTCCCACCCTTCTGCATTATTCTACCGCTTGGCTTCTTGAGCGCATTCCTCATCATGAAGATGTCGAAACTGCTTAATTTTATTGTGTAATAGATGTTCGTGTTGGGCAGTCATCTGTAAATTCCATTGTCAACAATTACTGACTTCATTCCCAAATACGATGCCAAGATCTTTCTTTCCCCTATCCTAATTCTTTGAATTTGAGCCGGAGATATATCAGCCCAAGCGCAAAGGAATGTGCTATAGCTGGGAAACCCCCGCCTTGACCATCCGTTGCTCTAACAGCTTGTCAACAACTCTGACACGATCCTGGAGTAAGCTTGGTACCATTCGACAGTCTTGTCTAGCAAATCCAAACGATTAAATGTTTATAAAAGTAAATGTTGACAAGTGCTTTGATGAAGTGCAGAGCATTAGTTATTATATTTCCATTTTGAACTTGAAAACATCCGTAAGGTTTGCTGTAAAGGTTACTGGGGTACGGTATGTTGATTGTTTTGCTCTGTATCAAAATTTTCAGTTCCTTAATTCCCCCCTTTCCTGATTGACGCAGATAAAATTTTGAAACATAATACAATACAAACATACTACTCATTTAGTACGTTTCCACTTCCACATTGACTAGAAAAGCGTGAAAGGTGTGGGCCAGTTGTAAATAGTAAAGTTTTTGAGCGATGTTGCCTGTATATAGTGATGTATGGGTTTACTTTTTCTGGCAACTCCCAAACAAACCTGAATAAACCTTTCTCTACCTTCCTTAAAAAGCTACATTTTTTTTTGCAAAGTTTTGCTTATCTTTATAAAAGTTTCTTTCGCGTTTTGCGCAGGATACCAAAATTTAAAAAAAAATCCTGCCAAAAAATCTAGGTTTTTTTTCGTAAAAAGCAAAATTTTACAATTGTTGTTTCTGTATAACCACCCTGCTAAATGGCATAAGATTGTGTATATTCCTGTTCTTGTGAAAGGCTTTTGTCATTATCTATATATATAAATGTAAGTTGTGTTAGTTACTACGCTTATAACTCAAGAACCGCTGGACTGATTTTAACGATTCATACAAATTCGGAATTGTCTCCTCTCCGAAAAGGATAATATCCAAAAAAATCGCGTAAAAATGTGATATTTTAACATTTTCATTTTGACTTTTGAAATGTACAATAGTAATGTTTTATTTTGCATGATTTTTTTTCCATTTTGACTTACTTTTTTCTAATGTACATTTGTAGTGTTTTTTATTTTTTATTTTTGAATTCAAATATTAATACCAAATTATTTAATTGACTTGATTTCTTGAGAAATGAAATTGATGGCGAGTTACATGGAAATGTAGTACAAATTATGTGGTGGCGAAACGGAATAGATGATGTCGAAATAATTTAATGCGGTCACACCAAAGTTAAAAGATAATTACTTTTTCAAAATCGTTAAAAAAAAATCACAAAAAAAGAGATCTCATTGCAACAATTCTCAAAACGGGAAAATGTCGAAAAAAAATTTCCAATGGAATTGAATTTTAAAATAAAAGTACATTCTATTGACAAACTTTGTAAGGATCTTTAAACAGTTGCTGTAAAAAATCTCAACCGTCCAATGAGAGCTCAAAATGCAAAAATTTTTGGGAGTACAATCAGTAAAACACCAAATATTAGGGGTGTAAAATAGTAGAGCGAATGGGACTTTTAGTGAGAAAAGGATTTCTATCCTTCCAAAAATTCTTCCTGAACATTTAAGATAGCTTAAATCGCTTTTGCAGGTCATGATATCGATCATAAATAATCATCGTATGATTTAATCCATTTTTGGAGTCTTCGCCACTTTCTTCTATTTTTGGCCCTTATTTGGCATCTTTGTTTCTAAGGGAGTAGAGAACCTCTACGCATTAAATTTTCGGAGTAGCGCCAATATTGGTCTTGACCACTAAAAAATTGTATTTATGCTACCCTTGGGTAAGGAACCATCGTACAGATAATTGCCAAATAGAAATTTAATCATGTAAAGTCCCCACATTGGAGTATCCCCAAGTGTGTGATTAGAAAAGAAAAATTTGTATTCTATTGAATTTGTAACCCCCAAGAGAATATTGGTTGGGAACGTAGATTTGGGATATACATCTATATGAAATAAATTGTGAAAACATGAACAAATTACAAATATAAGAAAGTAGCACGGGACCGAATATTTGTTGAATCGTCATTGAATTATACTATGATGAAAAATATGGACTTTATGGGGTCTACAATTTACAATTTCAATGACAAATAAAATTAGTTCCCATATTACGGCAATGGGTGTAAAATAGTAATTATATTTGACCATTCTGAAATCAGTCTGACCTCAATGATGAAGTCATGCTATGTTGTTCTGCTATATTTTCGATTTGGCCTCTATTTGTCATCTTGGATTATAAGGATTATAAGAAAGTTTTCAATGTAGGTCGATGTTTCGCATTTTACCATATTTCAAAGGATTTGGCTAAAAATGTGTATTTGGGGGTGAAAATCTTACACAAAAATTTCAATATATCTACAAATTTTAGAATTTTCTCCATGTAATAGTACCCCCTCAAGTCCACCTTTTGGCGGACAAACAGACCGACATGGTAATGGGTTTAAAAAAGTAATTAACTTTGCCTATTCTTAAATCAATTAGCCCTCAATTATGAGTTGTACAAAGTACAGTAAATTCCAAATTACTGCTCATTTGACTAAAAATTAAAAACTAATCGACCAGTACGTGAACTTTTATAACATTCATATCTTTGAATAATTATGTTTTGACAAATATGCATAATAGACAAAAACTATGGGCCGGCAACGCGGACCGGGCCAGCTAGTTATAAATAAATTCAGCATGTATTAGAATTGAAAGAAATAAAATTTCTTGTAAAAATTATTGTGAACAGCTACAATCATCATAGATTTTGTATTTTTACCAGCAAACTATAAAATACTATATACCTAAAATGCGCGGATCCGAGGAGTCTTAATCTAAAAATGTCCAAAAGTGTGGAAAAAGGGGGTTACTTTTGTTGGTTACTTTTTGATGTAAACTTTCAAAACTCCGAAGTTAGTGTTTTCTCTTTTTATACCCTCCACCTTGGAAAGGAGGGTATATTAACTTTGTCATTCCATTTGTAACATCCTTAAATATTCGTCGTAGACCCCATATATATTCATAATCAACATAAAATTGTAAGTCGATTTAACGATGTCCGTCTGTATGTCTGTTGAAATCACGATACAGCCTACATTATCTGACATAGAGCGCCAAAATTTAGCCCAGCAATTTTTATTGTGTCTAGGATGGTTGGTATTGAAAATGAGATATATCGATCTACGTTTTGGTATAGTCCCCATATAACGGTACCTCCAGATATTCGGTATTTTGATGATCTATGCCACTTTTTCTCACGGATTTGTCTGATTTGTCATAACGGGTCTCACCTTCGGTGGCGAAACATTGCATGTATGAGTCCCCCATATAACGGTACGTTCCGATATTCGGCATTTTGATGGTTTTTGCCACATTTTTCACGGATTTGTCTAAAAATTGGTATTTGTCATAATGGGTTCCAGCTCCGGTGGCGAAACATTGCATGTATGGGTCTACGATTTGGTATAGCCCCCATATAACGGTACCTTCCGATATTGGGTAAGTTTTTGCCACATTTTTTCACGGATTTGTTTAAAAATTGGTATTTGTAAGTCATAATGGGTCCTAGTTCATGTGGCGAAACATTGTAGGAATAGGTCCACGTTTTGGTATAGTCCCCATATAATGGTACCTTCGATATTCGGTATTTTGATGATTTTTGCCACATTTTTTCACGGATTTGTTTAAAAATTGGTATTTGTAGGTCATAATGGGTCCTAGTTCATGTGGCGAAACATTGTAGGAATAGGTCCACGTTTTGGTATAGTCCCCATGTAATGGTACCTTCGATATTCGGTATTTTGATGATTTTTGACACATTTTTTCACGGAAAATTGGTATTTGTAGGTCATAATGGGTTCTAGTTCCTTTGGCGAAACACTTTATGTACAGGTCCACGTTTTTGTATAGCCCCATATAGCCGTATTTCTCGATAATTGGTATTTTGATGATTTTTGGCACATTTTCCCACGAATATGTCTAAAAATTGGTATATGTGGGCCATAATGGGCTCTAATGTTTCCTTTATCCTAAGGTGAAGGGTATTAAAAGATTGGCCCGGCTGAACTTAATGTTTTTTTTTACTTGTTAGCTCTACTTACTACCTCGTAATTATATTTTGTGTTGCACAGTGTAATAGAGGGTATTTTGACGCTAAACCTAACATTTTTTTATAATTTTTTAGTATTTTTATGATTTATCTAAATTAAAACTATTTTTATGAATACAGAGCACCATTTAAATTCACTCTTAAATCATTTACTTATCTTTAAATTCAGTAACCATAGAAAATTAAGTATGATATGGCTGCTTTTATTTTGTTTTCTAGGCATCCACGCTTCTTTACATAATTTTCCTTTAGGTTTTCCTCAAATTTAATTCTTATTTTCCCAAGTGAACCTTTAATTTTGTTCTTGATGTATATACACACATGCATACATACCCTCAGTCAAGATGCGACCCAAACGAACGCATATGTTATTCTTCACTTGCGCTCAACCACAATGTGTCAACACCAAAACAAGCCAGACACGTAATCCAATGGAAAAAATACAGTTTAATTTATTACAAAAAAGGAAAATAAAACAATAAAAACGTTCTACTCTACTTTTCGTTATAAGAAAATTTAATTAACATATAAAAAGTATAAATTGTCTTTTGGTTATACATACATATAAGCTAAGAGAATGTTGTAGTGTACAATTTGGGAGGCTTATCAAATGAATTTCTGAGCATTTACTTCTCCTCTACTTAATAAATCTTCTTTTTACAAATATTTAAGGAAAAATATTTAACAATTTAAAAACAAAAATTACTTAAAACTCTGCTCAAAGAAACAACCCCAAACACTAGCCCGAAAGGGGGTTAGTTCATACATATTTACATAGAGTCAAATCACTGGTCACTTTTTGAAATCGTATTTAGAATGCGCATTAAAATGTCATTTTGACAGTTACATGGGTGCTGTGTAAACTTTATCACAAACCTACAGCAATGCAAATGTACATAAAGAGTATTGTAAATACATACATACACATGTTTGTGGTTGTTTTTTGAACTAAAGTTGGACTTAATTATAAATTCAGGGTACCAAAGGCCCCAACCCTGCCAAAAATAATTTCTATATTATTATTTTTGTTGTTAGTTGCTCTTAACTAATTATTTTTTTCTTTTAAATAAAATTTACTGTAATTAAACCCGTGTAAATATGACATGAAATTACTAGAAAATTGTGAACGCGAAAATAATTCTCTTAAAACCTAAGAAATGGACAATTTGGCCTGCCATCCATCCTGTGAGTGTTTGGGTTTCTGAAATTAGATAAAAGAGGATAATATTTTTATGTATTACTAAATTATTTAAAAGGCGTCGAGTTTGGCCCGTCCAAATATTCCACCAAGAGGTAAAAAAACTTTAAAAAAATATTCAATAGAATCGGAATACCATAAGGTGGATGGTATCGTTATATGGAGACTATAAAACCTGAGTCTACTTAGTTTTTCTAGTTTTTAATTCCGAATTTGAAAAAATTTCCCTGAAAATTTGGAAAAAAAATCTTTGATATTACGAATATTGGAACGTAAAGTTTGGAAGGTTCCATATTTTATCAGTGCCAATTTTAAATGCATTACAATATCTCAAAGAGTTTAAGCAGAAGGCATGTACATTCAATTGGAAACGCTAAAATGAATTGAAAATGTCGACCAACTGTATGACCAAGGTAATATTCTATCCAAAGTGTATTATTTTTTGTAAGAATTTCATTACATACCTTAAAATCACAATCGAGTTTCATTAACATTATTCATCCAGTTCTTTTAGAGCAATGAACTTCAATATAAACAAAACTATTTAGTAGTTTTTCAATGGTTTCATCACACATTTGCAACAGGAAGGGAACTTGAATGAATTCGGCAACACTTTTCCATCTGCTATCGAAACGAGGGAACGATAAATATAGCTCTGTTTGCAGGTTATGTTATAGCCAGGCGGCGGATCAATCTTCTGTTTTGGTCCACAAACGGAACCTTCGTTACTGCAAAAGGTGAGAATAATTTGACTTGATTCTGATTAACGTTATTTCAAAAAAAGTACTCACATGCACTCTTCGATTTGTATAGCCTGTTTGTATTTATCCGTATTGACAATGAGTGTCCAATTCGATTCTATATTCCAACCAGCCTGGGGTGTAATCAACGTGGTCCGTGATTCACAAAGCGACTCAACATTCGGTTCGTTGTTCATGCGCTGACTGAAATCGTCCGGACTTATGGTATCTTCGCCAAAGAAAATGTTCAAGTTGATGAAATTCTTTTTTAATATCTCCTCTACAACCGTTTCGGGCGGATAGTTGCGTACATCGGTACAAAATGTTGCTTTGCCCTCAACGCAATCATCCGAGCTAATGACGTAATTCATATCCAGATTTTTCTGTTCATCTTTTTGTACCGGATGACTATAGTCTGTAAATAAAATAAGGAAATTGAAAATTCATCTTTGATGCAAATGCATAAACGATGCATACTTACGAGAATCATCGTGCGAACGATCTGAATACAAGTTACCCTGAAAGGAAATGTGATCGAAAGAGAAAATACAAGTTATAACTGTTTGTTTATTTCAGTGACGTAAATGAAAAAATTGCTTGTACTGGTAATTTCTTTTTCTAAACGAAAATTGATATAACGATGTCAGGAAACGATAAAAAGGATATTTGTCTAATCTAACTGAGGACTTTAAATGTCCTTTCCGCATGTCCATATATGTTTTCTAACTGCCTAAAAGGTTGCGTTTGCAAATTTGTTAGTTATCGGAGCGACATTTTTTTCCTTAGTGACACCTACATAAGGTCGACCAATGAACCCATCTGACAATCAAGTTTGTTGTCAACAACATAATTGTAATTTGAAATTCAAAAAAAAGTCACCAGAAAGTACTAAGTTTATTATCAAAATATCGTCAAAAGTAATCTTCTTGGCTGGCCTTATATAGGCCATGATACACACGAAAGCTTTTTTATACCCTACCCTATACCTTCATTCGATTCGTCTTTAATTGTGCACTAATCGTGTAATATTAGTCCATATTGAATGAAATTTAGCAAATGCGACCAAATCGAGCCTAAAAGCAAGTATGTAAAAGTTAGTGAAGATCGGTTAAGATATAGTTTTAGCTAGAAGAATATTATTCGGACCCTACAGATACAGATCAGAAGTACTTCTGCCAAATTTTGTTTAGATTGATTCGGATATTGTTGTAGCTCCCATATACATCTTGATCCGATTGCACGTCAAAATTGTATGTCACCTATGACCGAATTTAGCGAGTAAGCAGACATGACAAATTTGGAGAAAATTGGTCCAGATATAGCTCTCTTATATACAGATCTGGTTTGGATACAGATCTTATATATATAACATCGTCCGATTCTAAGTTTATTGATTAAATTGATTAATTGGAATTAAATGCATTTTATCGAATTCGGTCTCATTTAACGTGGAAGCAAATAAGATACGAGAGATCGCATACAACTTTGAAGTAACTCCGTCAATCGATTGAGATTAAACAAAAGCTTTTATATGTTGGTCCCATCTGATTTAAAATTTATACTGCTTCAAAGTTGTAAGATAATTATTGTTTTGAACACAAATTGGCTACTACACAAATATTTAACTTACCCCCTTTGGTAATTTTATACCCACCACCATAGTATGGTGGGTTTATTAAGTTTGTCATTCCGTTAGTAACACCTCGAAATATATATTTTAGAGACAACAAATAAAAAAGCAGTAAGTTCGGCCGGGCTGAACTTTGAATACTCTACACCATTTGGAACGAATTAGAAAATTTTCAAAAAAATAAAATCCAATAAGTTTTTTTTTAATCTTTACAATCTTATATATATAAAAGAAAGTTGTGTTAGTTACTACGCTTATAACTTAAGAACCGCTGGACTGATTTTAAAGATTCATACAAATTCGGAATTGTCTCCTGTCCGAAAAGGATAATATCCAAAAAAATCGCTTAAAAATGTGATATAATAACATTTTCATTTTGACTTTTGAAATGTACAATAGTAATGTCTTATTTTGCATGATTTTTTCCCATTCTGACTTACTTTTTTCTAATGTATATTTGTAGTGTTTTTCATATTTTATTTTTGAATTTATTTAATTGACTTGATTTCTTGAGAACTAAAAATTGATGTCGGGTTACATGGAAGTGTAGTACTGAATAATGTGTTAACGAAACGGAATAGATGATATCGAAATAATTTAACGCGGTCACACCAAAATTAAAAGATAATTACTTTTTCAAAATCACTAAAAAATTACGAAGAAGAGATTTAAGCGCAAAAAATTCTTAAATAGGGAAAAAAATCGAAAAAATCTTTCAATGGAATCGAATTTTAAAATAATAGTACATTCTATTGACAAACTTTGTAAGGATCTTTAAACATTTGCTATAAAAAATCAGGGAACAAGTTGAAGATTTTTTCAATTTGTTATTCTTCCTTTGTCAATTTTTTTTCAATTTGTATTATCATATTGAATTCAATGAATTTTTTGTGAAAAAAATTAAGAATAATTTTTCACTATATACAATTTTTCATCAAAAAAATGAAATAGGATGTTAACTGACATCTACCTTTCAACTCCAGGGCCACCATCGTGGTTCAGCTGGAAGATGCGAACACATTCAAACAAACAAAAATGACCGAAAAAGCCTAATGGGGCTCATTTAAAAGCGTGGACCTACTTCTTTCATGTGACAATAGTCCGTCCAATGAGAGCTCAAAATGCAAAATTCTTTGGGAGTACAATCAGTAAAATACCAAATTTAAAGGGTGCAAAATAGTAGAGCTAATGGGACTTTTAGTAAGAAAAGGATTTCTATCCTTCTAGAAATTCTTCCCAAACATTCAAGGTACCTTAAATCGTTTTTGCAGGTCATGATATCGATCATAACTCACGGATAAGGGTACAACCCGATTTCATTTCAACCATCGTATGATTTAAGCTATTTTTGGGCGTAAGCGGGTAGAGAACCTCTTCGCATAAAATTTTCAATTTTCAGAGTAGGGCCCATTTTGGTCTTGACCACATTTATCAATTGATTTGGCTAAAAATTGTATTTATGCTACCCTGGGTAGGGAACCACAGATAATTGCCACATCGGAATTTATTTAAGTAAAATCCCCACATTGGTGTATCTCCAAGTCCACTTCCACATCTAATGTGTGGTCAGAAAAGAAAATTTTGTATTATATTGAATTTGTAACCCCCAAGAGAATATTGGTTGGGCTACGTTTTGGTATAACCCTCATATGGATGTATCCCTGATTTCAGCTATGACCGTGGTCTTGGCCACGTTTTTCAACTGATTTTGCCTTTATTTGGCATCTTGGCTTTTCTATTTCGAGGGTCTTGACCACATTTTCCAATCGATTTTGCTGTATTTAGGCTACTTTGTGAGTAGAGAACCATCTTACAGAAAAATGTCAACATAGGTAAATATTTTCGTACAGTCCCCATATAGTCCCCGAGGCCGCCGATCTATAGTGATTTTTACAGATTCGCGGACAACAACACGGGCATTGTTGATTCGTCATTGAATTATACTATGAACAATAATATAGACTTCTTGGGGACTCTAAAGCGCAATATAAGGTGCTATGGTAATGGGTGTAAAAGCGTAAGTAACTTCGACTGTTCAGAAATTATTTTGCCCTTCTTCCATAGGTATTTATTTCTATTTAGTCGGATCAATATTTATGTTAACATTTGTTCACCTTTATGAGCCAGATTTGTGAAATATTATACTATACAAAATTTGCATTAAAGACTAAAACTACGGGCCGGCAACGCGGACCGGGCCAGCTAGTATTTAATATAGGAAGGTGCCGATATATGGGGGTATATGTGATATTGGGGACCTATTAAGACAAATCTATGTCTGGGTGTAAAGTACTCACAAGGAACTCCTTGTGTGGATTTTCAGATAACTCCATTGGAAAAAGTGGCTAAAATCATCAAACTACTGAATATCGGGTGGTACCGTTATATGGGGGATATACGATATTGCGCACCTATATAGACAATTCGCTTTCAGGGAGTAAAGTGCTCACAAAGAACTCCTTGTGTGGATTTAGAGACAATACGATTTGAAAATGTGGCTAAAATCATCAAAATACCGAATATCAGGGGCACCGTTATATGGGTGCTATACGATATCATTAACCTATATAAAGAATTCTCTGTCGGGGGGTAAAGTGCTCAGAAAAAACCCCTTGTGTACAATTTCCGTTAAAAATGTGGCTAAAATCATAAAAATACCGAATAACGAGGGTACCGTTATATGAAGGGCTATACGATATCGTGGACCTATAGAGATAATTCTCTGACGAGGTATAAAGTACCCACAACGAACTCCTTGTGTGGATTTTCAGACAATTCCGTTAAAAAATGTGCCTAACATCATCAAAACACCGAATATCGGGGGGTACAGTTATATGGGGGATATACGATATCGTGGACCTAAATAGATAATTCTGTGCTGAGGTATAAAGTACCAACATGGAATTCCTTGTGTGAATTTTCAGACAATTCCGTTGAAAAATGTAGGTAAAGTTATCAAAATACCGAATATAGGGGGTACCGTTATATTGGGGATATACGATATCTTGGACCGATATAGATAATTCTCTTCCGAGGTATAAAGTACCCATAAGGAACTCCTTGTATGGATTTTCAGACAATTCCGTTGAAAAATGTTGGTAAAGTTATCAAAATACCGAATATCGGGGGTACCGTTTTATGGGGGATATATAATATCGTTTACCTATATAGACAATTCTCTCTCAGGGGGTAAAGTATTCACAAGGAACTACTTGTGTGAATTTTCAGACAATTCCATTGAAAAATGTGGCTTACATCTTCAAAATACCGAATATCGGAGGTTACCGTTACCGAAATCGTCTTAGAATTTTACGCTGATCAAGAATGTATATACTTTGTTGGGTCTAAAATGATTATTTCGATGAGTTACAAACGGAATGACGAACTTAATATACCCTCCATACTATGTATGGTGAAGGGTATAAAAAGTATATATATTCTTAATCAGCATAAAATTCTATGTCGATTTAGCAACGTCCGTCCGTCCGGACGAAATGAAGTAGGAATTGGTATTGAAAATGGGCCATGTAGGCCCACGTCTTCGTATTGCTCCCACATAAGGGTACCTCACGATATTCGGTATTTTGATGATTTTAGCGACATTATTCACCGGAATTGTTTCAACTTTGGTATAAAAATTTCGTAATGGATACTGCAGCCTGAGACAGAAAATTGTCTATGCAGGTCCACGTCTTCGAATAGCCCCCATATAACGGTACCTCCCAATATTTGGTATTTTGATAATATTAGCGACATTATTCACCGGAATTTGGAATTTGAAATTCGTAATGGATACTACAGCCTATGACAGAAAATTTTCTGTGCAGGTCCACGTCATCGTATAGCCCTCACATAACGATACCTCCTGATATTTGGTATTTTGATGATTTTAGCGACATCATTCACCAGAATTGCTTCAAATTAGGTATTTTGAGTTCGTAATGGATACTACAGCCTAATTCAGAAAATTGTCTGTGTAGGTCCACGTTTTAGTTACCGCACGTATAATAGTACCTCGCATATTCGATCACCGTATAGAACCTAATATAACGGCTACATTCTGTATTTTTAAGATTTTAACAGAATCGTTAACGAATTTAATTTTTATGAAAATTGCCAAATTCGCTCCAAATGGTTGGACTTGTTACCTACATTAAAACAGAAAGCGTACTGGTCGAACTCGTATTGGCAAACATATTTTATGTCTTTTGAAAAAAGGACACATTCTCAGATTCAATAAGTTCAGAAGCCAAAATCAGTATTGACTTTTCGTAATCGATTTGACATTATTGATTTTTTGTCATTTTCATTCGATCAATATTTAACGTTTACAACAGGGTCGTCTTTCACAACAAATAGTTCTCTTGGCTGTGATAAATAATAAATCTAAAATCGAATTAACTTTCAAATAACTGAATTGAAAATTATTTTTTCAGTAATTAATACAAAATCTTATTTTTTCTTGAAGGCAAAATACGAAAAGTGGAATAAACTATCCTGTATTGCTAGTCTTTATTTTTTTTTCACAAATCTATTGTTTAACTATGCAATTAGCTTAACATGCAGCAGAAAAAAGTCTTTCTCAAAAAATTAAAAAAAAAAATTAAAAAGGGTCTTACTTTCGGGAATGTTTGCAATTCCTTTGAAGGGACTGCTGTCAATTTTCCATTTGGATCCCTTGAAACTTTGAAGGTAGGAGCCTCTGTTATGGGTTGTGACCATAATGGATATGACGAGGATGAGGTGGCCTATAAGAAAAATTTTTGATTAGATGACATTCGAAAAAAAGAACCAGATTATTTAGGCCAGACTAGAACAACATAATTCGCTATTAATGATCCCTTATATAGGGCCTAACGGAAGGGCCATAGCAGAATGAACGTGCTATGCAGTATCAATAAAACAACAATCACATGTAGAGGGCTTTATCGACGCGTGAAATCGATTTTTTGTATTAGCCTTATTTTAATATATTTTATATTGTAGTCCTCAATTTTAGCAGTTAATTGTACATATATAAGATATGTATGTCTAAGAATATTATTTTATAATAATTAGTGTACAACATTTCCTTGATATCGGAATTGGTAAAGAGGACTTTGGAGGTTATTTTGTGAATTTAGAATAATTTGACAATTAATTTGATGTGGGAAATTTTGAAGAAACTACTTTGAACAACTTATACCTATTTAAATTTATTGCATATCAACGTAGTATCTGACTACTACTCGAACTACTCACATTCGTATTCGTTAAAACGTTTCTTGTAAAGGTCGCGTTTCATATCTCCTTAGGATAACGTAGGTCGACATTGTAAGTTGAAAAGTCTATGCAGAATGAAGGCGTTAAGCCATTTTACGCGTTAATTATTATCGAGCCAAAAAAGCAAAACAAAACTTTGTATTTTCTACTATTTTATTGAGTAAACTCCATTAAAATTCTAAAGTTAAAAGCGATTGAAAATCGATTTTTAGTTATTTTGACAACATTCAAAAATCTAACAGTCGATATTTTTTTATACCTTACACCCCATAGTAGTAAGGGTATTATGTCTTTGTACATTTGCTTGTAACATGGAGAAGGAAGCAAGATAGACCAATTAATTTTGAGGATCTAATTTTGAGGATCTTCATAGAATCACTTTTTGAGTCGATTTATGGATGTCAGTCCGTCCGTCCGCCCAAGCACCTATTGAAATTGGTGATAATCGGATCAGAATTAGATATAGCTAACATAAATGGCTAATATGTACCAAGCACTAAATGGCTAATATGAGACCATGTGACCAGCATTTTGGTAAATCCCACCGAATTCAGTCTAAAAGCAAGTAAATCAAATTTGGAGAAATTCATCCGATTGGGTTTTTAAGTCCCTCATATGCGTAATATGTACTCCAGAAGAATGATATTTGGTACCTGACATCAGATACTGTTCGGTAGTACCTCGGTTCATAGCTAAAGCTTCCATATATAAGTTTTATCCGATTTTGGGGTTTAAAGTGCCTCACAACCGTAATATGAATTCCCAAAAATTATCTTTAGTACAAGATATCAGATACAGCTCTGAAATAAGTATATCAAATTTTGTCAAGATCGGTTCAGATTTGGATATAGCTCCCATATATATCCTCAACCGATTTCGGGTTAATTGTGCACCAAATAGCCAATATCAATCTAAATGGCCTGAATTTTGGCATACCCAACCGGATTCGGTCTAGAAGCAAGTACATAAAATTTGGTAAAAATCGGTTCAGTTATAACTATAGCTCCCATATATATGTTTCGTCTGACTTGGTGTTTAAGTCCCTCACATTCGTAATATGTATTCGACAACAATGATATTTGGTATCAGATATCTTAAAGAGCTCGAAAATACCTCTGCCCAATTTTATCAAGATCTGTTTAAATTTGGATATAACTCCCACATATATCCTTAATGCCATTTCAGGTTTATTGTGCAAATAATGGCTAATATCAGCCCAAATGGAGTGAATTTCCGAACGTACGTTTCCATTTTGTGGAACCCGGCTCCGATACAAATTTTTTTTTAATACAATCCTTCTCCCAATCCTTCTCCATCAAAATCATGCACTCTATAGCAAACTGAGGCCAAATGTTATATGATATACTTGAAATAAATTCTTTTGGTACGGGGGCTCTATTAAATATGCATAGCGGTGTAGGGTCCGACTTTTCTTTACTGGTCGATTATATGAATGTTAGTACTTTTTATCTAAGTTGTAACGAATCTTATTCAATTTTGGTTAATATTCTACGAAAATATCTACATTATAAAAACTATCAACATCTAACTTTCTGAGTATTATATTTTGGTAATGTTTGCAAATGTTCCAAAAATCTATCATTCGACATTGTTCTTGATTATGGGTCCCTTATCTATTATTTTAAAACTTTTGCTTCGTTCCAGAACCTGAAAGAATCTACATGTTTTGATTTTCTTATATCATAAGGGGAAATCGGTTATTGTAGTAAAAAGTTTCATATTCTTACAGTTCTGGAACAGAGCATTTGTTATGCATATCTATTGGCTTAGAATATAGGTCGGTATGTTATAGTAATATCTGTCTCTCAAAAAAAAAAAATCTTACTTTCGCTGTATTATCATTCGGGAATGTTTGCAATTCTTTTGACGGAACTCCTGTCAATTTTCCAGTCGAATCCTTTAAAGCTCTGAATGGAGCCTCTGTTATGGGTTGTGTATATGATGAATATGACGATGATGATTGCGAATCATCCACCTCAAATGGGGAAGTGTTCTATAAGAAGAATTTTGATTAGACGCCATGCAAAACAAAACCAAATTATATTCCGAACAACTTACATTGAATATTGTCAATCCAGGAGGAAATCCAACTTGAAATATTTCGCTAATTAATTCGTCTCTTGTCTTGTCAGATCGGTGGTTCGTTTGATATGTTGGTTCCTCTTGGCTTGATTCGTATTGTCTTGTATCAGGTGCATTCGTTGGAATGTCTCTCTTCTGCATGTCTCTAATATTATATATTCTACTACACACACATGAAAGCTATAAATAAAATTAAAATAAATGGATTAATGAAATATGGATTGTTACGAGTTATAAATGTTTGTTTGGTTATTAGTAAACCGAGTTTTTTAGAATAAATGTGCATACATAACTGAGGACCCATATATTGTGATATGCATTTTAGCAAATTATATTGAAATTAATTGAATATCTATTCAAATTAAAGAAAATTCCATATTCAACTACTAAGCTGTTCCCAATATTTTTATACCCACCACCATAGTATGGAGGCTATAAAAAGTTTGTCATTCCATTTGAAACACCTCGAAATATACAGGGTTGCCCATATTCGACTTTTGGCCCATTCCAATCGACGAAACTTGTCCGCAGGCAACATTCTTTGCGTCAATTGAATTTTGTACGGGAACAAATGCAAATCAATGCGAACAATCCGTTGTAAAGTGGACCGAGCCGTGCCCAACTGCTGAGAACGGCGTTTTTGGGATGTTCTTGGGGACCTCTCAACACTGGAAACGGCAGCAATATTCTCGGCCAATCGCATTGGTCGACTTTTATATGGCCTCTTCGGATTAGAAAGGGCCTTACCAGTCGAAAGTTTTTAGTATAAACGCTTAATGGTGTTCTTAGAAGGCGCACTTCTCACATTTTTTAATGTTTTAAAAGCACGTTGAGTTTTCACAATGACTTCTTCTGTTGAATGTAAATGTAAGCATCCGATTTTCCTCAAATTTCACTCATCCCAATTTTTTACTAAAACAAGATCTGGTATGAAGATAGAATACATCGGTACTTCCTTCTGGTACCTCCATCGCAAAGGTTCAACATTAAGAACAACAAAAACGATCTATAATGTGAAATACGCATCCGATTCATTCTAAGCTTACCATATTGCAATATTTCCACTAACACACCACCTACCTTCCTCACAAAGGGTCAACATTTTGAACAATCATACCCTCTCTTCACGATTCTTTTTCACTTGGTTTATCTAAGTATTTCTCTCAATCAAAGAATAGGGATTTTATTGGTCCACTCCTCCTCACAAGGGCCAAGATTTTGAATAATTGTAGCCCTAATAACATTCGAAATAAATCCGAAATTTTCATCAAACTTCGTTTATCTCAACATTTCTGTTAACCATAGATTTCGGTTCACTCCTTCTAGTTAAACTCTTGACTAACAATGCATAGCATAAAATTCTATGTCGATTTTGCGATGTCCGTCTGCCTGCCCGTCTATCTGTCTGTGGAAATCACACTAGCTTCCGAACAAAATGAAGTCTGCAGGAATTTTGGTATTGAAAATGGTTCATGGTTTTGGTATAGTCCCCATATAATGGTACCTCCCTACTTTCGGTATTTTGGTGATTTAAGCGATATTATTCGCCGGAAATGTTTCAAATTTGGTATTTGAAGTATAATATAACATAATGGATACTACAGCCTATGACAGAAAATTGTTCGTGCAAATTCAAGTCTTCGTATAGCCACCATATAACGGTACCTCCCGATATTCGGTACTTTGAAGATTTTAGCGACATTATTCACCGAAATTGTTTCAAATTTGATTTTTGGAGTTCGCAATGGATACTACAACCTATGACAGAAAATTGTCTGCCTACCTCCCGATATTCGATATTTTGATGATTTTAGCGACATTATTTACCGGAATTGTTTAAAATTTGGTATTTGAAATTCGTAATGTGTACTACAGCCTAGGACAGAAAATTGTCTGCGCAGGTCCATGTCTTCGTATAGCCCCCATATAACGGTACCTCCCTATGTTTGGTATTTTTGATGATTTCAGCTACATTATTCACCGATTTTTTTCAAATTTCGTATTTGAATATTGTAATGGCTTGTGAAAAATTTGCCTATGTAGGACCCTAATATAAAGGCTACATAAGGTTTTTTTTTAAGATTTCAACAGTATTTTTAACGAATTTTATTTTATTTATTTATTTTTTTTTTTCCTTTTGAAAGTTTAAAATTCGTTGAAAATGGTGAAGGATATTTAAACTTCGGCCCGGCCGAACAGACAGCTTTTTTACTTGTTGTTCAATTAATTTAATATATTTTGATGGTGACATATGAAGGATCAAAAATTTTAATTAATCCTATTGATATACTTTAACAATTTTAATAGGTATTCTTAAAATAACACATAAGTTTAACAAACGTTTTAAGGATTGTATAAGTTTAAATATTGTCATATCTAATACCCGTTGCTTCTTTATTTTCAATTTATTATAGTTTATTTTAGGAAAATTATTTCATCTCAGTCTCATTAAATCATGTAGACATACATTCGATTCGATTTTTTTCTCGTTAATTGTTTAATTTGAATTTTTTTAACAGCAGATGCTGATCAAATAGAAATGAATATGAATAACCGAAATCGTGACATTTAAACAGATGTTTCGACTTGGGCAAATGTTTTTGTGGAAGAATTGTTTTAGAACTTGATGCTTTAAGTATTCTAGTAGAACGTCAAATCGCAAGTCAATAATTTTAATATTTTTTTTAGTTTAAATTAACTACCTGAATGAAAGCCTAATAGTTTTATGTTGTTTATTTACCTAAGCGTGTGCATCTAATTAAAATATGCATACATTTTAGAATCGATTTCAAGAAAGAAATTACCAAATTCAAATTCGGCCAATTCATGTCTCCAAAAACGTGAAATAATAAGACCGGCAAATGATTGATTTGAATTGTTTCCCTGGTTATATGACAGGATACCATATGTTCTCCACATTCATTTCTTCAATTTTAAGCAAGAAAAGAAATAAAGAACGTTTATATGATTTTTGTTAGAAACTCCGGCTATATCGTAGTGAAATCTAATAACTAGAGCGACCATTTGAAGTCATTTGTTCATTAGCGAAAACAACAAAAGTGACTAAATTATTGTTAATAGCCACTCTGTTGCAGAGTTCTTGCAGTCCTTTATTCACTCGACCATTATGGGAAAATTCTATTTACTTTGGCATTTTGACATAATAATTTGTATTTTTTGACATAATAATTTTAGACACTACGAAGTAGAGTCTGGTTTTATACTCTTAAATAGAACTACCAGATATTCTGTATTGTAACAATTTAAAGCACAATTTTTCAACGATTTTTATACCTTCCACCATAGTATGGCAAACTTAATATGTCTTTCCGTTTGTAACACCTCGAAATATACATTTTAGATCCCACAAACTATATGTATTCTTGATCAGCATAAAATTCTATGTCGATTTTGCGATGTCCGTCCGTCTATCCGTCTGTGGAAATCACTCTAGATTCCCAATGACAGGTAGTAGATTGATAAAATTTTACGCAAATGTGTATTATGTCTGCAGGACTGCAGGACGGGAGGTATTGAAAATGGGTGATGTAGGTCCACTTTTTGGTAAAGCCCCCATATAACCGTACCTCCCGATAATCGGTATGATTTTAGCAATATTAGCAAATTTGGTATTTGAATACTACAGCCTATGACAGAAAATTGTCTGTGCAGGTCCACGCCTTCTTATAATAATAATTAATACGTCGTATTAAGCTTTGTATGGCAAATTTGTAAACATGTAAATACAAAAATAAATAAGTAAATACGTAAATAAAAATGAGTACATAAAATATAAATAAATAAATATACAAAAATAAATGCATAAAAATACAAAAAATAGTACTGATAATAAATAAATAAAAGAATAAATAAATTAACAAATAAAGAAGTAATTAAAATTAAATTAATGAGTTCACGAATGAGTATTGAATGAAAATCAATTTAATCCATTTTTCTGAAACAAAGTTTTCTTTTGTTTTGAAATCGTTGCAGCTTATAGATTTTATTGAATTTTATATTAGCTGTTATCCTCATGAATAATTTAAAGAATTAGAGTGTTCAAACTACTGGAGGGGCAATAATAAAGTGTTGATAGGAAATTAGTTTTTTAGCTAATTCCGTAGTCATTCTATTTTAAATTGATTTTGAACTCGTGGTTTAATGTATTAGATCTCATGGATAGGCTTAGAAACAAACCAAATTTCAGCTCTCCTTCTCCCCCTTTCTCTAAATTTTCTGTTATCAGGTGGTTCTTGATGACTGCATCTCTCGAGTCCAGTTCATATGACTTCGTAGGAAGTTGAAATAGATAAACATTCCTAATACACATCCATGTTTATCTCGTAGTTTTAACTATGTTCCACTATCGATTTTTGTTTACATTTTTATGGAAATTTTTCGAATGCCCAAGACGATATAGTCAAATGTTTTTTATTTTATTTGTACAGCTGTTGTCGAAATGTTTCATCCATCAGTAATACAATTGAATGGTTATAAAAATATCTAAATTTTAACATTAAAGTTTCGATTTTGAATTCAACAGATTTGAAGTAACAGGATTACATAAAAATGGGACGAAAAATTATTACATTCATAACGAAACAGCCCATTAACAACTTAAAGATAAGTATACACAGTTTTGGGGTTTTTGTAATAAATAAAAATAAAACAAGTTAACAAGCAGTAAGTTCGGCAGGGCCAATCTTTTAATACCCTCCACCATTTGCAACGAATTTTAAAATTTTCAAAAAATAAAATCCTTAAAAAAATCTGTTAAATTTTTAAAAATGCCGAGTAAAGCCGTTATATTGGGGTCTATACGACGTGGACATACATAAACATTGTTTGTTATAAGCCATTATCATATTCAAATTCGAAACTTGAAATAAACGGTGAATAATGTAGTAAAATCATCAAAATATCGTATATAAGGAAGTGCCGTTAAATTGGAGCTGTGCAAAGACCTGGACCAGCATAGACAATTTTCTGTCACAGGCTGTAGCATCCATTACGAACTTCAAATACCACATCTCAAACAATTTCGGTGGGTATTGTACCTAAAATCGTCAAAATACCGAATATAGGGAAGTACTGATATATTTGGGCTATACGAAGACGTTGACCTGCACAGACAATTTTCTGTCTTAGGGTGTAGTATCCATTTTGAACTTTAAATACCA